ATAATGTACCGTCTTGCCTGCCTGCTAGAGTGAGTTTGGTTTAAAAGTTAGTCCCAATAGCCATTGAATTGGTATACTTTATAGAGGTATATGAATTAGATTCTGGAGATAATATTTCCTTTTTGGATCTCATTAAGTTTGACCCATCTTTCTGGTATGAGTTAGATATCAAGTGTCAAAATCTATAGAGGCCACTTTAGTCCATGAAAATATACTATGGCATTGTCTTTTTATCCATGACAGCACTTCTTACAAAGCCCCTAACACTGGCTTTAAAGGCCCTACACAAACTGGCTCCCATTTCCTCTCTTACTCTCATTGTTACCTGACTTCAGCCTCACTGGAATCCTTGTTATTCCTAGAATAGACCAGGCAAAATCCTGCCTCAGGGCCTTTGCATAGCCATCTGTGACACTCTTCCTTCAAACATTCACATGCTCCTTTACCTCCTTCAAATCTTTGTTTTAATGTCACCTGCTTATAGAGACATGCCCTGACCGCCGTATTTAAAATAGAAATTCCCATCAGCATCCTTATTCTTACTATCCTGCTTCATTTTTTGTCATGGTACATATCACTTCCTAACATAGTATGTAATTTACTTACATATTAGTATTAACTTACCTAAATTTTTATAATATATATTATTTATCTCCCTCCACTAAAATAGAGGTTCTATGATCTTTATCTCTTTGGTTTTCTTCTCCACCAGCAGCGCTTCAAAAATGCCCACATGTAGTAGGTGTTCAATAAATAGTTGAGTGAAGAAGAGCAGTTATATTCTAGAAACTCTATATGGATAGGTCTACAACTACGTCCATCATTTCTATAATCTTTATGTCTTCCCAGTGTCTGGCACACAGAAGGTGCTCAATCAATATTTGCTGGTTGGATAAACATATAAATTTCATCTAAAAGCCAACAGAACATTTGGGTATAGCTAAAGAGAAGGGGAGCCTAAAATATTTTCTTAAAGTGGTATACTTTAAATTTGTGGCCTGTCAGAAAATTGTTCCATTCCACAATGGCTCTTACAGAGCTAGAAGGCAGGTTTTGCAAAAAAGATTAATTAATTTAAATAATAAAAACATTAATTATTAATTAATTAGTAGATGTCTTAATAAATTTGTACTTCTAGCCCATCCCCGTTTATAGAGTCAAAGGCAGCAGAAGATAGGCCATTAAAAGCTACAAACCATCTTATATTTTTCAAAGCAGATTTCTCTGTGAGAAGAGTGTACAGTAATGATCAGTAATGGTGTACCTGGTCCTGAAGCCTATCCACTCCTCATTTAACATTCTGCATATAGAGATTCAGAGATACTATTTGTTATTTTGTAACTTGGTAAGGTGGGCATAACATTTCTAAGGAACTCCAGTTTGAGAAGGAAAGATGGTTGCCACTCTTGAATATGAAGTGCATTATTCTGCTAGGGCATCCAAAAGCAATTAATTATGCTGGTGTCAGGAGATCTCTCATAGCTCTCATTTATTATATGTAATTATCTAAATGAATTGTGCTACAATTTGAGACACTTTTCATAAATCTAGGATCATAAAATTAGAAGTAATAAAGACTGAAGATGTTAGGATATGCAGGTGTGTTTAAGTGCTGGGATTCCATGATCTCTCCACATCAGTTACCAGAGAAATCATGTACCCGATTCTGTCATCATTAGTATGTTCTTCTCAGCTCATCAAACCTCTGAATCCTGAAGTATCCCCTCTTCACTCTCTTTCCTGAATGCCTTCCTGGGCCATACTGACTAGATCTCTGAGTCCATGTCCAGAATATTGCACAAGGGTTAGAAAAGGTATGCATAGGGAAGATATGTTTGATATCTCGAAGGCATTTTCCCACAGAAACTTCCTTATACACAAGTGCTAGATTCCTCTGTTGTTACATCTGAATATTGTTTTAAAATATTTTAATGCTACTATTAAAATGTATTTTTATGGGCTGAGTTGAGGACCTAAATCCCACCCATAACATCTCTCTTGGAAACGTACTCTAAGTGCCAATAATACATTCATAGTTTGAAAATTGTCACTGCTATTAACATTTTAAATAACTATCTGGTACTGAAATAAACCTTTGTCTCTCTTCAGATCATGTGACTCACTTGAACCAGATATGCTTGTTGTATTTATGCTATCTCGATTTGTAAAGAATCATCTGAAATTTTTTAAAAATTCTTTCCCATCCTGGCCCTGTCTTCCTAGTTCTAGGTTTATCTTTCAAATTATCAGGTAGGCATTCTCAATTCTTGTGAGTGTCTCAGACTCAATGAGTACAAATCCAAAATTATTATCTCCTTCCAAAGTCTTAACCATACTAAAATCAGTATCTGCTCCTAAATATGCTGTTGGTATGAATTCTATTAACATTCTCCTGGTGTCAACACATGAATTAGCTTTTGCTACATCCTCTATGTCAGTTTTTACCCACATATAATCAGCCTCAAGTTTTTTTTTTAATTAAATTTTCTAAATGACTCTAGGATTCATCCCCTCCTATCCAATCCTAGTGTCACTAATCTAATTTAGGATCTCATCATATCTTATCTGGCTTTTTGGAAATAGCCTCCCTGGACTCAATGCTTCAGAGCACTTATCTATTCTATAACTACTGGAGTTTTCTTCCTAAATCCTTAGAAAAATAATTCCTTTTTCAAAAACTTGCAGTGGCATTCTATTATTTAAAGAATAAGCTTCAAACACTTTAGCATAATAACCTAACTTAGTTCCCAAAGCCCATTTGAGGCGTGTTCCTTACCATATGAACATGGGTCTCTCTGTGATATCTGTATTCCTTGAATTTAGGGATTCTGAATCTTTTTTGTACCATGGATTCCTTTGGCAGTCTGATGAAGTGTGTGGACTCCTTCCTAGGACAATATTTTTGAATGTATAAAATAATAAACATAAGATTACCAAGGAAAACACTTCTACAGTGATAAAATTCTATCTGTCTGTGGACCCTGCTGTTTGTGTCTTTGTGGTTTTGCTTGTGATCCTCTTAGCAAAGAAGTGCCCCTAACCCTACTCCTCTGATTATTGAAATCCTTCTCATCTTTCAAAACCTATTCAATTCCCATCTACTCTGTGCAACTTTACCTAGACTCCCTGCCCCGTCTGTATTCACCACTTTGCCCTTTGCCCATTCACAGTAGATTCTTTGTATTTCTAATTAGTCCTTACCTTAACTTAGCCTTTTCTTATAGTATATTGTGCTAATTGACAATGATGGGCCAAATAGTAAACCAACTGGCCAATTTCACACATTTTGAATTCATGATTCTTTTAAAACACTATGATATATGCATATGAGGAGGAAGCTGAGGTCCAGAAATTTTGTTTGACCAAGCTAGTACAATTTGTTGCTCTTATAAATTATTTGAGGAAAGGAATATTTTAATAATCTTTTTCTTTATACCTTCTCAGGATCTGTGGAATAATATTTATTCAGCAGTGTTTCCTCAAGTGGATTTAAAAATTAGAAAAACTGGAAAATTCTTATCTCCCAGTATTTAATGCCCCTCGAATTGACTAGGGGCCATAGGAGGACAGAGATATGCATAACAGTGTTCCTAGTTCAATGTATGTCAAATCAGCGGTGACTAAATCCTTCTTAACATACTAAAAACTCTTCTAATTCCTAGCAGTTTCACAAATTGAAAATTCACACAAGGGTTTTCAGCAGTCAGTTCCCTAAAATATTATCTCTTGTTTTGCGCCCTTGATAAAAAACAACAGTAATAAAAATAGGACAAATTAAAGTTGTGTGGAATAATAATGAATTCAGGAAACATTTACATTTGTGATAATATCAGTTGTATAACCTATTTCCTATGTTACTCCCTCTGTGAAAACAACAAAAGCAACCCAATTTTAAATATAATTCCCTTGTTCCAGTTTCACTTTTTTTGTAGTCAAACATGTTTCTACAGGTCTTCCTAAAACAACATTATTAGACAATCTATTTTTAAATAAAAGCACTTACTAAAAAAGATTTATTTTGCAACAGTAATAATTTCAAAATATTGCATTTAAAAATCATACATTTATGATTATTAATTTCTCATGTGGAAGTTTTTTTTTTTTAAAGATTTTATTTATTTATTTGAGAGAGAGAATGAGAGACAGAGAGCACGAGAGGGAAGAGGGCAGAAGGGGAAGCAGACCCCCCCGCTGAGCAGGGAGCCCGATGTGGGACTCGATCCCGGGACTCCAGGATTATGACCTGAGCCGAAGGCAGTCGCCTAACCAACTGAGCCACCCAGGCGCCTGGAAGTTTCTTATATGTAGTAATTATTTTGAAAGGAATTACATCTTTTGATTTGCCAATGCCTTTAGCATGCTGTGAACTATAAATTAATGTATAATTAATTCATTATCACTATCCTTTTCTCATGGCCTTTTCTATTATTGTATTGTAGCAAAGACTAACTCAGATGTCCCAGGGTAACTGATTTTCTATTTTCACAGCTCCAGATGGTCCTCCTGAAAGTGTGTATGTAGTAGCAACATCACCTTTTAGCATCAACATCAGCTGGAGTGAACCTGCTACCATTACTGGACCAACATTCTATCTGATCGATGTCAAATCGGTAAGGTGTATCTTACCTTATGCAAAAGACGGTGTAGAGAGTGATTAAGAATACACATTTTGGGAACCAGACTATTTGAATTTTAATCCTAGTTCTGTTAGACCTCAGGCAACTTATTTAACCTATGTGTGTTTCATTATCCACATCTGTAAGGTAAAGATTAATAATAGTACCCAGGGTACAGAAATTTTGTGAAGACTAAATTAGAAAATATGCATAAAGAACTTTAAACATTGCCTGAGTAAGGCTCAGTAAATGTAAGTAAGGCTCAATAAATGTAAGTAAAGTATTATTAGCATGATTGTCATATTTATCCCCAGGGTATAAATAATGTATGTAAACAAGTGGTTAAATTGATAATAATACACTGGTTTAAAATACAGTGAAAAAGTACTTACTTCAGCAGCATATATACTAAAATTGGAAAAATACATAGAAGATTAGCATGGCCCCTGCACAAGGATGACACTCAAATTCATGAAGCATTTCATATTTGAAAACAATAATAACAATACAGTAAGAAAAAAACCTCATAATACAAAAGGTGAAGGGAGAAGGCATTAGAAGAAATAGCTCCCAAATAAAGTAATATCGGAGCTTAATTGTGAAGAACACCTGAAGCAGACCATGAGAGAGAAATGGTACTAAGAGTGTGAGAAGTAAGATTCATTCAAGAAAAAGCAAGTAGTTCAGGAATCCTTGGTCAAAGCATTCAAGAAAAGTGCTGAGAGAAGCTAGATTAGAAGGCCAACGGTCTAACATGTAATGGAATTTGAGTTTTATGATAAGGCCAGTGGGGTGTCAACTGAGGAATTAAAGCAGTGTTGGGATAGAGATTTCTATCTTATAGGATCAGCTTGGTTGCACTGCTGAGGATAGAGCAGTCTTAGTGCAAAATTTGGCAAGGGGACGGGACACTATAAGAATAACTGGGTAAGAAAAGATAAGGACAGAGAAAATGTAGTGAGGGAATGGAATGGAAAATAATTTACATCTACAGAATTTGGTGGGAAAAAGTCAGTGGATGGTGAGTGAAAGGAATAATCGAGGATGACCTTTAGATACAGGATTTGGAAAATTGTGAGGAGAAATAGATTTGTAAAGGAAGGGAATCAATTCAGTATTAGATGCACTGAGTTTGAGATGCCCAGGAGTCCTCCAGGTGAAGATACTCCCTTAGCACTATTATATATAGATATGGAGCTTAGGAGAGGAGATCTGAATTTGCAGATTTGGGAAGTGTTGGTATTTAGATGATAGTTGAAATGATAGGAAGGGATGAGATTAAATATGGGACATGTAGCCTAAGAACCTCTTCTGTAAGAACTAACCTGAGGATTGAATCCTGGGGAATCCAAACATTTAAACAAGAGGCCACCGAAAGCACCAGACTGGAGTAGCCATCCAGACAGAAGGAAACCCAAACATGAGAGTCAAGCCTTTCACCTTAAACAAGGTGCTTAACAATGTAAATAATGCAGAGTTCTTAGCTAGGATTAGGATTGGAAAAACCTTGTGAGTGCCCGGCTTGGGTTTTACTGGGCCTGATGACCACTCTCTTCTCGTGGCATCTAATGCATTGAGTCATTTATGGTGAATTCTCCTGCTTCCTTGATGTCTCTACCTACCTTTTGTTTAATGTTTATAATTTTATTATGTCTTTATGTTATTTCTAAAATGGAAGTGCTGCTATCTCAAAAGACCTGTCATGATTAAAAGAAAATTTAAGGGATTATTGGTGTATTTGTACTCCTATTCAGTCTTCTGTTTATGTTCCTTTTTAGAGCATATTTGTGAAGACTTAGTTTGTAATTAGCCAAAAGTAATCAACACACATGACAAATGCTCTGGGAATATGTATTAAAAGCAAATCACAAAATGATAATGCTCTGTTCTGTCAAAGACACCTTATTAATGAAAATAGTTCTCTCTTGAAATTTGAGCTTAAAGGAAGGGAAAATAAAATATTTTTTAAAATGATTTATAACCTCATTTCCTTAATATTCTTACTGAGTTTAAAAATAAGCAAGGGAAAGAGAGAAGAATGACTAACATGGTAATTGCTTACTTTATATCAGTTACACAGTAGCCTCTCCATAGCTTTACCTTATCTTATCTAACATTTTACTGTAAATATATTATCTTCATTTTTAATAAAGGGGAGTTGAGGCACAGAGATGATAGCTTCTCAAATAGTTAAGACCTGGCTACAGCCAGTAGACGGTGGTGTGATATGAGAAAGGAAAAACCACCAAGTAGCAAATAAAATTTGCCAAGTTGAAATATATGCTCATCCAAACCTTTCAGGTCAAAGATAACAAGAATTCAAATAGATTGTAGTACTTTGTAGTTTCCCCGGGTTCTTGGAACAAGGCTGTCATTTAGTTCCTTCTTTCCTTTATTCATTCGACACATGGTTTTAAATACATCCAACATGCCAGCATTGTGCTAGGTGTTGGATACCTAGAACAAGTCTGATGTGGTCATTGTCTTTACAGAGCTTATCTGCAGCTCATTTCATGGATATATAATTATCAACCTTCAAGAATGATCAGATCCTAGGCCAGGGAAGAACACATGTCATTGAATTTAGGACTTACGCTGTGAGCCTGGCCTTTGGTAAATCCTAGTCACAGGGACATAAAACTTTTTTTCCTAAAAGACTCAAGTTAAGCAAAACTTGACAGTCTTAAAGATATATGGGCACAGATATCACCCTGGATGATACTACCAGAAATTCATGCATTTTGTAGTCCTTTGTTCATTGTTCCCTTCATTTTTTTCAAAATAACAAACATTTATTGTTTCTGTTCACCAAAAAAGGATGCAAAACATAAGTAACTCACACTCTTATGGGAGACACCAGAATATAAACAGGTAAATATAGAATGTGAGCTATGCAGTTTTTTTGGAATATAAACTAGCAAAGTAATTAAAATTCCTGTTACGAGGGGCATACGATACAATGGAGACTTCACAGAGCAGGTTAAATTGATTGTGGGACTTGAGGAATGAATAAAGGTGTACGTGGGGGGGAAGGGGGCAAGTGGGGTAGGAAAAGGAGAGAAAATAGAATCAAAGTCGAGTTGCTGACATTGCCTATAAAACTACCATACTGCAAAAATAATGGGACACATTTCATAATAATAATAGATGATCAAATATAATATGAGCAAATAAGCTTGAAATTGATGGAAGGGAAATAATGAATCAAAAAGGTCTGAGGTTTCATTCCTGGGTGTGTGGACAAACAATGATTAACAATAATGACGACAGAGTAGATTTAGTGAAGAAAGATAAATGAATTTTGATACATTCTGTATTTGAGGACCCAAAATTCTTTTTGGATTTTATTAAATACATTTTTAAGATACAGTAGATCACAGGCACATTATGTCATATTTTTACTACTCAATATTAGGTATGTACTATTTTAATGGAAGACATTAAAATAATTTAATTTTACTTTATAAGATCAGGCCCAGTGTAGTAGTGTAGAGAGCTCTGGATTCTTGAAAGACTTCAGAGCAAATTCTATCTCAGCTACTAAATAACTATGGAATGTTGAGGAATTCACCTCAACTCTATAAAATCAGAATCCAAAGAGGTATAGAGGTCAGTCAAGTAACATAAACTTCACCCAGTTGGGTGAAGCAGTGATGAATTGGACACTCATGCCCCATTGTAGAAGTCAACTATCACTCATCTCTAGATAATTATTACCCAGCATGAATATAATCCTAGTCTTAAGGAAAATTTAAAAAGCTAGATTTTTATGTGATGTTTAAATGCTGACAGCTAACTGAATCACACACACTTTCTACCAGTGAGAACATGCACTTGATCAATAGTATTCCTATGCTGATTTGGTTTTCTGCCACTTTAGAGAAAGGAGGCAACTGCCTTCAATGCTCTAAGGTGGGAACAATCTATTTGACTTTGCAATGCGTATGGTATTTATCAGCCTTTTGCTGTGTTTCTCATAGAAACATCTTTCAGTTCAAAAAGTTCTTAGAAAAGAGCATTTGAAGACTATTTTGAACAAGAAACCTTTCAAAGGTACAAGGGAGGGTCAAGTTGAAAATGAGCTTAGTACTGTGAACAGTGTATACAATCTGGTTTTAAGTGTTTCAATTCAGATACTAGGGAGTAGCATGCATTGTAGGATTTCAAATTTTCTGATGTTCATCTCAGGAAAAACCCTTCTTTGTATTGCTAGAAACTTTAGCTATGTTTAATCCCTTCAGTGAATAGGCCAGACTCTTCATCAAAGGCACACTTTGTTTGACACACTGTATGACTATGTTTAATACACCTAAGGATGCTCATTTTTGCACATCTAATAATTATAACATCCACAATTAATTGAGTCCTTATCCAGTGCCATGCATAGTGCTAGATGGGAGTTTTTCAAACTACAATCATGACCAAAAATTTTTAAATGAGCTGGAATAAAATTTAAAAGAGAAGAAAATACCAAATGCATTTCAGAAAGAAGTTGCTTTTCTTTTTTTTTTAGGTTCTGTTAATCACCATACATTACATCATTAGTTTTTGATGCAGTGTTCCATGATTCATTGTTTGCGTATAACACCCAGAACTCCACGCAGTACGTGCCCTTCTTAATACCCATCACCAGGCTATCCCCCCACCCCCCTCCCCTCTAGAACCCTCAGTTTGTTTCTCAGAGTCCATATTCTCTCATGGTTCGCAAATGACATATCAGATAAAGGGCTAGTATCCAAAATCTATAAAGAACTTATTAAACTCAACACCCAAAGAAGTTGCATTTCTGAAAATTGTTTTTAAGTTATAAAGAAGTGTATGTATGTATGTGTGTATATATATATATATATACACATGTATGTATGTATACTCATATATATATATGAGTATAAATACACACATATCCTGAGTTATATTACAAAATGTGTTTCCTTTTTGTAGGTCATGGTCAAAAAAATATCAAAATCTCTGTGCCAGCTACTTCAGATCTATTTTTCTAAATCTCACCAAACACTATGAATAGATATTATTACTCTAGCTTTACATACGCAGACAGTAAGACACAGAGAACATAAGTGATTTGTCAAACGCTACAGGAACTATTACATGACCAAGTTGGGATTTGAATCTTTAATGTTTGATTACCAAAACCTGTATTCTTTCTCCTATAAAATATCACAGTAGAAAGTAGAGTTTCATTGACACAGATAATACTTGCTTGTTCATTGGATGGGTTGATTGTGGTTGGTTGGGTGATTTTTTTTTCTTTTACTTTCAGTTGTTGAAATAATTGCTTATAAGTAGACTGTTAAAGTGGCACTTTAGATTTCCCAGGACAATATGACTGCAAGAAAAAAATAATTTAAATCTTGGCTAGATAAATATACCACATGTAGCTTTGTAGTATTATGTTTTGGTGATTTGGATCTCAAGTGCGACTTCTTTAATTACTAGCTATTTTTTTCCTATAGGTAGATAGTGATGAATTTAA